AAAGAGGTTTTGGCCTACTATACCTCACTGGCTAGACGACTTGGTATAGGATTTGTTTCAAGTTTTTCTTCTCTTTGCAGTGCTGTTGTCCTGCGTAGTTAGTCGACTCTTACGACACCCACAGGATAAATAGGGGTGGTGACACTCCGTATTATTAATCCGTCTCCACACAGAAAAATCACATAATTATTTATGCTTGAAACAGAAGTAACAAGATGAGTTAGTTGTGGGAGAGTCATGACTCGGCACATATAGACCAGGCTCAACAGGAGTGATTCCACGGCCTCAAAGAAAACCTGTATTAAAGCAGTTCTCTTGTTGCTTTTCACCGACTTCCCACTGATCCTGGGGGGAGGGACTGAAAGGGCTGCAATGCACTGGCGACTCAACGTGCGTATGTTCATGAGCGGCGGTGGTCACTTATCATGATTCGACCTGTCTGCTCCCTTGCCTCCATAGACAATAAAAAAAAAGATCGTACTAGAAACTTTATAAACACTGAGTTTGACCGTAAGGGGCTAAGTAGCGCAGAACGACTTCCGTCCTCTATAAACGCAGGCCTGAGGGTGACAGGTGAGGCCATCTGTCACCTAGCAGAAGCAGGCCGGGGTGGCGCCGAGACGCTGCGGAGCTCGCACGTCCTTTCGGGAACACAAAGCGAGCATGGGGGTTCCCACATACAAGGGGGTCAGCTACACGTTATCGATGGCCCGAGGTACTTCGAGGTAGTACACCTGGCTCCCTGGCTATGGTAGCGAGACGGCGTTCAGTTTTGAGTCGGTTTAAGGCCGACTAAAACCATCTTACCGGTGGGTCTGAGAGGATTTCTGTACAAAGAAAAGTGGAACACTTGTGTCTGTTAAATCACAAGTGTCCGTGGACTGCTCGCTTGTCCCTTTACCATTAAAAAAGAAAACAATAATTAGTGTTTAATGAAAAAACTAAATTCACAGTTATTTTATGGGCATAGCAGCTAGAGGTCAATCACTTCTAATATAAATATATATTTAAATACACGAACACGCAAATTTACACCTTAGGACAATTTAATAAAGACTATTAAGCATTGTTGTCAAAATATACTACAGTTACTGTAATAATCATTTACTAGAATCTAAACAAGATGACGGCTTATAAATAACCGTTACAAGTCTGTGAATACACGAGTAAATATTTTTCGATGTAAGGTCTCGTAGAAAGTCTTTCAAATGTGTTTTTTTTTTATGGAAGAGGGGGCAAACGATCAAACCCGCACCTGACGGAAAGTGACTACCGCCGCTCATGAACGTCTGCAACTCAGGAGTTACAAAACACGTTGCAGGCGTTTGAGGACGGAGTAAGCGCTTTCTCTCTTCTTTTCTTGAAGGTTTGAAGGTCGTCGGTCCGGAAATACCGCAGACGATAACTTGTTTTTGGTTTTGCGGGTCAAAAAGTGTCTTGAAAAGCGCACAGTGGGGTGATGTCTTTAAAATAACTATTTTCTATAACGTAAATACATCACAACTACAGTGACCATCCATATCTCAGAAGGGCCACCCCTTCTAGAGGTTTATTACATTTCACCCCCTACACACAGTTAAGTCTGGTCCTCTCAAAAGGGCACATTTTTTTCTATTTTTATGAAATAAATATCATTCTATTCTATTCTAATTTTTTTTTGAAGACAATTCCCTCATTAGGAATAAATCCGGTGTCGCTGGAGCCTTTACAAACATACATGAAACGGACACAAAGAACACCCAGACTCAGAACAACAATTTGTGGATCACACAAAGTGTTGTCCCGTGTGGGGATGGACCCACAACACTCTGCGTAGTAGGAAGCGGCGAGGTGACCGCTTAAACCACTACGCCATGCGTGCAGTCACTGCTGGACATAGGCCTCTCCTTAGAAAGGAGGTTTTGACCTACTAAGTATACCACGTTGATATAGGGTTTGTGTCAAGTTTCCTTCTCTGCAGCGCTGTTGTCATGCGTAGTTTGCTCTCTTAGTCGGCTTTTACGACACCCACGAATTGAATAGGGGTGGTGACACTCTGTATTCTTAATCCGTTCCCACACGGACATATTATATATATATATATATTAAAAAAACACACCAGAGATAAAGATTTCTTTTTTAATATGGCTGAACTTCGGTGTCTTTTACAATATTTATATTACTGTGTTTGTTCATTATACCTAACGGCAATTTCTTACAGTTATAATAATTTGACGAACAATTTTTCTTCATTAAAATTAATAATACCTTTATATGCATTAACAAAAAAACGACCTAGTTTTATAGCAGTCGCATATGATATGTAACATCTCACGAACAACTTTAGCTCCGCGCGCCTTTAATGATCAAATCAAATATACGTATCAAACATTAAAAAAAAATTGGGCACGCTTTCCCGACTTCCTCTTACATACTTCCGTCCCTTCTAAGGATATATATTTATTTATATATTTATATTTTACTACATTCACACAACGCAATCTAGTCCCAAACTAAGCAGAGCTTGTACTATGGGTACTAGACAACTGATATAAATACATATATACTTTTTTTTTTGTAAATACATACATATTATACATAGAAACACCCAGGCCAAATCAAACATTAAATGTTCATGCACACAAATGTTTGACTTGAGCGGGAATTGAACCCGCGACCTTTGGAATAGCAGTCCGTTACACAAACCACTGCGCCATCCGGTTGTCGATCGTCATATCTCTCACGGGTCGCAGAAAAGCATTGCCACTTGCCAATCACTAGCCTCCTTTAAGAAACAAGTGAAAGAGTACTACCTAGAAGACGGCAACGTCAATTAACTTCTACGAAGTCGACAAGGTCACACTTTTTCTTATAATATATGTATTTATAACTTATAAATCGTCGTATCTAATAACACCATATTTTCCCCCTAGTATGTTATATATTCACCTAAGGTCAACAAATAGATATTATGTGTAATTATCACTTTTTATAGTTATGTATATACTACTTTGATTTCTTCTTCTTATTCTTCTTTCCTAACACACCAGCAACTACCCAATACCTCCTCCTCTTCATGTTTTCTCTCCATACCACGGTTGCCTGTAAGAGATTGCCTCTGGGCGATAAGGCCGTCACTTGTACTGAACTAGTTTAAGGTAATTATGTATATTTATACCTGGTGTACAATAAAGTGATATATTATTATTATTATTATTAAAAGCGGGATGAAACATGTTAGGTACACATTAAAAAATCATCATCATCAACAACCTTTAATAGTCGACTTCTGGACATAGGCCTCTCATTAGAAAAGAGGTTTTGGCCTATTAAAAATAGAAATGTGTTATTTGTTTTCTAAAATAGTTTAGATTTTAAAATTAACTGTTAAAAAGCTACGTTTCGTCACAAATGAGCTATCTCTACTGGAGTTACCCGAGCCCAAAAGCCCCCTACAGGAACTTGTAAGTGACTACAGACCATGGACAAATGTAACTCAATAAACACAACTGAGTTGCCGCCCTTTGTACCCCTTCACTAAGAATCAGAAGTGGGGCGGGTGGAAGTTAGGCTCTGATAACCTCAGTCACTCTGTAAAAGGTAAGGAAAACATTGCTTAACACCAGTTTCTTGTAAGGCTGTGGTACCACTCCGATAGCCTGGTCCATTCAAGAATGGTTCTACCAGGGGAAATTAACATAATGACAACCCTTTTTTTTTTTTCGTGAGGAAATCCCCTCGGATACCACCTGTCGGTGGCATGTCGGACTCGAACCGACTAAAACCGCACGCCGTCTCGGGTACTAATAGCCGGGGAACCAGGTATACCCTAGAAAGGAAGTCCCTGGTGCCCCGACATACCTCGGGTCATCTACAGACGAAACATAATGACAACTCTGTTATTATGTTAATTTCCCTTGGTAGAGCCGTCATATATATTTGTGTATAGTTACATATATGACGGGCCTGTTGGTCTAGTGGTTAGTGACCCTGACTGCTAAACCGGAGGTCGTGGGTTCGATTGGGAATCGAACCCAGGACAAATATTTGTGTGATGAGCCCGATCGTTTATTCTGTGTCTGGGTGTAATTTGTCTATAATATGTATGTATTTAGAAATATATAACTATATTTATCAGCAGTCTGGTTACCATAGTGCAGGGTCTGCCTATTTTGGTATCAGACAGCCGTGTGTGAGATGTGTGAGATATTATTATTGTTATTATTATATAGGGTAACAAACATACCTATCTCTCACAAACAAGCAGACACGCACCCTTTTGTTTACTTATCCTATTACCTGATATATTGTGTACCTGTCAGCTGTGCAGAACCTAAACAAATGAATAAAAACATGAAAAAACACAAACGGAATTAAGAACCGTCTCTTTTTTCAGTCGGTTTTTTTTATGACATAGTAAGCGATCTAACTTAACAGAAGCAATAAAATCAACGGCTGCTGACATTAAACAGGAGAATTGACGTGCTCAATCAGTAGGTACTCGTACTTAGAAAAAAAAACACGTTTTACAAGATGGCGTTTGTTTGCATTAACGGTAAAAGCCGCTGTACACACATGTCCAGCATATTAGTTCCACTTGACGGTATGTTGGTAGTTGGCGACCAATTAGTATCGGATTTTAGTGGCGCGTCCCGCAAACAGTATTTACACGTTGATACACATTTAGATAATAATTAAATTTACTCCTGAGTTGCAGACGTTCATGGGCGGCGATATTCACTTTCCATCAGGTGACCTCTCGGCTGCCCCCTCTAACATAAAAAAAAACTATATAAATTGCCGCGGCTGGAAGAGATTCTACATCCATCTTTATTAAAGCGCCAAAGCAGAGTGATCAGTACGCCAATGTGTCAACAAATTCTAAGTTTTGGGGGCAAGCATGCTGGCCCAGCACCTTGGCGCAATGTGTACAGGGGCCGTAGAACGCGCGTGTCATTGTCATAAAGTCATAACATAACGTAGACACGTTATGAGCTATGACAGGCATTTTAAAAATAAATATGGAAGAATGTTTTCAAAAAAGATTTGAATTGCGAAAATATAGGTATTAAGAAAAAGTTATTGCGAGAAAATATCACTGACGTTTGATAAATCTGATTTTTTAAATAATCATCAGGACATCTGACACACAACATCATCTAGTTTCAAACTAAGCAGAGATTGGCTGATAGAGTACTTAGAAACTTTTTTTTCTTAATACATAGATATTATACATAGATAACCCAAACTCCGAAACAATGCAGATCATACAAACATTTGAGCCGACCCGTGGATCAAATCCATACTCTACCACTGCACCACCGAGGCAGGAAAAAAGTCACTGTCAACTGCTGAACATAGACCTCCCCTTAAAAAGGAGGTTTTGGCGTATTATTACACGCTGGCCAGACGGGTTGGTATAGGGTTTGTTTCGAGAAGGTAATTTGAGGAGTCGGCCCATGTCGTGCGGTGTTCCACAGGGGTCTGTTCTTGGACCCCTCTTGTGGAACATAGGGTACGACTGGGCCCTTCGCGCCGATTTCCCCCCCGGGCTGGGTGTAATCTGTTACGCAGACGATACCCTGGTGACAGCCCGGGGGGCAAACTTCCAAGAGGCGGCGCGCCTGGCCACAGGGGGAGTCTCCCTGGTGGTCGGGCGCATTGAGGCGCTGGGCTTACGGGTGGCCCTATATAAGACGGAGGCCCTGTTATTTCATGGGCCCCGTCGTGGTCCACCCCCTGGCGCCTCAATCGTGGTCAACTCGGTCCTCGTACCGGTTCGGGCCCAGATGAAATATCTGGGCCTGATCCTCGACGGGAGGTGGCTCTTCGACGAGCACTTCCGACAGCTTGCTCCAAAGCTGGTCGGCGCTGCGTCTGCCCTAGGGTGACTTTTGCCCAATATGGGTGGACCCAGCGTCGCGACAAGACGGCTGTACACGGGGGTTGTCCGGTCAATGGCACTGTACGGTGCACCGGTGTGGGCGGCGGCTCTGACTGCCCAGAATAGGGTACGCCTCTGGCGCCCTCAGAGGGTAATGGCGGTCAGAGCCATACGCGGTTACCGCGTGCGCGTTGGCCGGAACTCCCCCGTGGGATTTGGAGGCGGAAGTGCTCGCCGAAGTTTATCGGCGAGTGGCTGACTCCCGGGCGGAGAGCGGATTTCGCCCTCCGCCCGAGGATGTGCGCGAGTGGCGCGAAGCCGCTCGCCGAGCCACGATGGCTCGTTGGTCGTTCCGGCTGGAGACTCCACGCGCTGGCTTCGCCGCCGTGGAGGCTCTCCAGCCGGTCATCGCCGAGTGGGCAGGGCGGCAGCACGGGACCCTTTCCTTCCGGCTGACGCAGGTGCTTTCCGGGCACGGTTGCTTCGGAAAGTACCTGCACTCGGTCGCTAGGAGGGAACTGAGTCCCGCCTGCCACCACTGCGACTGCAGTGAGGACTCGGCCCAGCACACGCTGGCGGTCTGCCCCGCATGGGCGGTGCAGCGCCCGGCCCTCACCGCAGTCATCGGGGTGGATCTCTCGCTACCGGCCGTAGTACGCTCCATGGCCGGTAGCGACAGTTGTTTTACCGCGGTCGCAACCTTCTGCGAGGTAGTAATCTCGCGGAAGGAGGCGGCGGAGAGGGCCCGGGAGGACGACCTCCACTCGGACCCGATCCGCCGCCGGCGAACCGGGCGGCGGAGGCCCGCCTATCACAGCCTCATGCCGCCCTGAGTGTGGCCGCGGGTGGACGGGGTGGGTTTCCCCTCCACCCGCATTAGTTTGGCCAGCCGCGAGGGGGCGGCGTCCGCGTGTGCCGGACGTCGCCTAAAGAGAGGAAAAAAAAAAAATATTGAGACGGAGCCCGCACCAGGAGCGGGCTGGCGCTAGGAGGGGTCCGGATGTCTTAACAACAGCTGTTCCCGGATCCCTCCTGTTACAGGCGCAGAGTGGCACACCGTGTGGTTTTAGTCGGTCCGAGTCCGACACACCACCCCGCCGCAAACCCCGGAGGGGTGAGGGTCCGAGGGGATTTCCACACGTTAAAAAAAAAAAAAAAAGGGTTTGTTTCAAGTTTTCCTTCTCTTTACAGTGCTGTTGTCCTGCGTAGTTTGCTCCCTTGGTCGGCTCTTAAGACACCCGCGATAAATAGGGGTGGTCGTCACTCCGTATTCTTAATCCGACATCACACGGATTAATCTGATTTACAATTCATAAAATTTTGAGAAAAAGAAAAACAATAGCAATTCTCGTTCCAGCGATTATAGGCAAGCATCGGAACACTACCGCTGTATTTTTTCGTTCGTTCGTGCGTTTTTTTGAAAACAACTTCAGCATTAAGAATATATATCATGTGTCGCTGGACTTTACAAACATACGTAACACTAATACAAAGAACACCCAGACTCCGGACAACAATTTGTAGATCACCATCAGTATCGTACCATGTGGGGATCGAACACACAACACTCAGCGTAGTAGTAAGCGGCGTGGCGACCGCTTAAACCACTACGTCACCCGTGCAGTCTTTTATTAGCAGTGCAGATATTATTAATAAACAAATAGACTAGTAAATAATGATTTGTTATTAGTATTATATGCACACGGTCAGAATGGCCACCCTTGCATAAAATCGTCAACCAATATAACGTCGTCAAGTTCATATTATGTATGCAAAATGTGGGAGTTTATCACACTCAAACTCAAACTCAAACTATCTTTATTTCGTAAAATTTTCAAAATTGTTTGAAATCGATTTTTATGTATACTCTAAAGTCAAACAACACAAAAGCAAGAATCTCTGTTTTGTCAAATAGTAACCAAATAAATTTATCAAAAATCAAACCCATACAAAATCTATGATATGCCTGTGCCGATCTACAACCGCCCGTTTCCAAGGGGTTGAGCCTTATGAGAAGAAAGGGCAAACAAACTCATTGATACTCTTTTGCACATATTACATAGGGATACTCTCATAATACATAGGGATATAGGGTACTTATGTATTGAAGAAGCTAGGTAACTGTTGTTGCAACGACTACCAGAGGCTTGTGTGAGTTTATTTCCCATCAACTAGATCGTCAAGGTGACAGCGTTCGGCGTTGCGATTGGCCCTCACTGATAACTGCCCGAATCGCAACGCAAAACGCGTTCGCCGTCGAGAGCGAGTTGATGTAGAAACTCACACTAAGACCACCGTATTTGTTTATAATTTTAATTGTATTTAAAAAAGGCGTGAAAATCATTAATAACCAATTTTATGAATTAAAGTCATTGAATTTATATTTTAAGATAATTTAAAGAAAAAATTTACGACTTGCTTTGAACAAGAATTAATTGAATAAGTGTGTAATAGAAAATTGTATGGTGTAGAAGTCAACATACAACACACTCGGTGCTAAAATGTTATGCTATTAAATAGTAATGTTATATATTTTTATATTCAATAGAACATAAAGTAAGTTTTCGCAAATCAGTAGTGTTATACTTACTTTTAGGCTGGTTACGCAATGCCATGTTTTTAAGTATTGCAATTTGTCGCACCAATTAGCGACAGATATTTTGCCTTAAGGTTAGACTTGCAACGAATATTCGGTTACTATTCGGTATTCGGCCTATTCGGCTGCTTTTATTATATTATTATTATATTACCGAATATCTACATATTATTCGGCCGAATACCGAATACTTAAATAATATATTTTGTCATTGAGAAATAATTGGTAAAATGAAAAATTAAAAAGGATTGATTACGTACATATTCATATTTTTATTTCTGTTATAATCATTTAAGTAGTCATTGGTGCATAACACAGGTACATAATCATCTTCTGAATTGGAAAAATGGAGGATTCTATGTATTTTAATTATTGTAGTAATCAAAATTTAGAAGGGTAAGGTTCTCGTTTTTTTTATAATCATTTATTAAGTAGTCATTGGTACATAAAACAGGTACATAATTTAATTCACGTCTGTACAAGTTTTTGGCGCTAAAATCCAGCCGAATACTTTTGCCTAATATTCGGCTATTCGGTCAGGGGCCTCGCCGAATATTCGGTATTCGGTATACTGCCGAATATACTATTCGTTGCAAGTCTACTTAAGGTGTTATTTAGAGATGTTTGCAACACCGAGAGTTTCATGAATTAGCAGCATATCTGCTTTAAATAGTATGAAATAAAGTTTTTCCGTTTCTGTACGCCTAGATCTTTCGCATTCCGCAAAGGTTTTTATTGCGTTATATGTTTATCTCCTAAGGATCAGTAACCATTTTTGTCTCGTGCATATTACAAAAAAATAATGGGTTTTTACAAAGCTATTTTAAATAATACAGTATTATTCCTTTCCACTTCTTCTTTAAAAGGTTAGATACTGTTACGAGCGGGGCATATAATAAATAAAAGTTTTCGGTTAATTACTTTATTGCACTGTATTTACAAACGCTCACTATAACAAACAAGAAATCACTATATATCTCGTTAGTCGCACTAGAAATTCACTCCGATGGTAATTAGCTTTGTCGTAAAACGAAACTGTCCCAAACGGCCTACCCGCTCCGCTTTTATTGCGCTTGAATTTTACTGCGTTTGACAGTCCGTGCAAAACAAACACGAATTTTCCAGAATCAGTCACGCGTTACTTGCAGCGCCATCTAGCGCTGTAAAGATCAGAACTACTCGTATTAACCACAATCTTAATAGATGTACTTTAGTCGATACTAGATGGCGCTGTCCTCCACATTTCATACAAACGAACCAATAATCCTATGGCACAACATTATAAAATGTGAAAGTGAGTGTTTTTGATTCCCTTGTTACGCTTTCACGCCTAAGCCAATAAATCGATGTTAAAAATTATTTCACCAATGGAAAGCTACATTATCAGCGAGTAACATGGGCCGCGAAAACCAACATACACGCGGGCGGAGCCGCAGGCAATAGCTAGTAATAGATAAATTACACCCAGACACAGAACAAATCATCGTGCTCATCACACAAATATTTTGGGTGGAAATCGAACCCACGACCTCCGGCCACTTGCAAGGGCCACTAACCACCAGACCAACAGGCCCGTCAGAGTCATATACATAGGTATATATCATGGAATTCGAAAGTGTTTAAGTTCCTGAATGTTTTAAACGATTTACTTCAAGACAAGTCTTGAGTTTATAACCGGCCTAATATCTGTAGTGGGGATATTTCACATACAATCTTTGTACACTGACGCCCGCCAGTCGTGGCTCGCGCAGCAAATTAACTCCTCGTTGAAGTGAAAGGGATTTAAACGAACTATATTATTTGTATCAAGATTGTTTCGCAAATTGGTAAGTTTTTTGGTTTATTCTTTATGCAATACGTAGGTATCTTTTACGTAAATACTCTTTAAAAGGATTTTCACAGTGAACACTTTGGATTCGTTTTTTTTTCTTATTATCTATTCTTTTATTAATTGTTTATGGTTTTGTTATTATTAATTTACAGTAACATGTTATATCGGTAATATTATTGTTTATAAATGCGTTATTTTGATGTGAATCGTTAAATTTATTGCTGTGTAACCAGTATTTGTATTCAATCATGTTTCGTGTACCGTAAACCAGTTTTATCAATCGTTTTTTTTGTTGTTTTTTTAAGTGCTGCTAGTTTTTGTTTTTAAATGATGTGTCTGTTGGCAAAACCGTACAATTTTATTGTTTATTACATCCCAGACGAAATTTTTTAATGTTATTTTTGTCTCTAAAAGCGAAACGATAATGAGACGATATGTAGGTAAAAGTCATTAATTATTACTTTGTGTGGGTACAAATATCTGTATTTTTTATATACCTATACATGTATTTAGATATTAGATTGTTTATATTCAGTAAATTTACGAAACGTAATTATCTGATTCTGATGTGAGGTAAAATCTATGCTTCTTTTGTCAACATCTATACAAATAAATAAAATTGTACTGTATGTTTGTAATGTCAAAATTACAGGTTTTTAATGCTTACACGGTTATTTGCACGATACCTATGCCTAAAATCCGGTTTATTTTTTTGTCTGTCTGCTCCGGGTAATCTTCTAAACTTCGATTTCGATAATATTTTACTACCAGGTAACCAAAAAACCCTTTAAAATTTTGCCCAGTCCGGGCATCGAACCCACTAAGGCAGCGCTTTTCAAATTCTACGCGAACGAAGTCGCGGGACCAGCTAGTCTCTAATAATATTATTTAGCTGTAGCAATTGTTTTTGTTAAACGCGCGAATTGCTGAAATAACAAGTCGAATTAAAACTTTTTTTTTGCATTTTATAACTAAATTCTTGGAGCTATTATTTGTTGAGTGAGATGATTAGTCTTTTTATTATCACGCTAAGACCTTTAGGAGCGGTGTAGTAATCTTAGAATTAAAATTGTTAAAATAAAAGTGTTACCCAACTCGCCTTAAATGCGACTAAATCATAATAAATTTATACAAAATGTCCTAATAATAATAATATACCTCTCACATACTCACACACGACCGTCTGGTCCCAAACTAGGCAGAGCCTGTACTATGGTAACCAGACTGCTGATAAACACACTTATATATTTCTAAATACATACATATTATAGATAAATTACACAACACAAAACAAAATGACCGCGCTCATCACACAACATTTGTCCTGGGTGGGAATCGAACCCATGACCGATAGCTGTAAACCATACTTTAGAGAACACGACATTCTAACACTGCCATCAATTTATATTTTGGAAATATGTAAATTCGTACGAAAAAATCAACATCTGTTTACAAAAAGAGAGGATAAACAAAAAACTACACACTACGCCATAGGACTAGACTAAACCTACCCTCATCCAGACTCCAAATCCATTCAAATAGCACTCAAGTAATGTCAATCAAAATTTACAATAAATTACCCGAAGAAATTAGAAATGAAACCATATTAAATATATATTTAAATAAATTAAAACAATTATTACTACAAAAATGCTATTACAGCGTCAATGAATATCTGAGCAATCAATAAATAAAGCATGTACATAAAAAACTGAAGTATGATTATTGTTATTAGTTTATATTATCTCTCCCTCTCTCATCTATTGCTGTGCCCGACAGGGTCCATGATGATCTGATCTTATATCTGAGTACCATCTAAGTAAACATTGTGGAATGCAATAAATATTTTGAGTATTGAGTATTGACCTCCGGTTTAGCAGCCAGGGTCACTAACCAACAGGCATCTGAATGAGTTTAGCTGATCGGGGGAATATCAGGAACTACAGGTCCGAATTGAAAAATTATTTTAGGGTTGGATAGCTCTTTTATTGAGGGAGGATATAGACTGTATTATATTATGCTGCGACCATTAGGAGCCGCCTAACAATGAACAATGTAGCGGAAAGCGGTATGCTGCGTCTTTTACAGAATAAAATTTATCTTTTTTGTTTTAAACACCGTGTTTAAACACCGTGTGGTGACGGATTAAGAATACAAAGTGTCACCACCCCTATTCATCTCGTGGGTGTCGTAAGAGCCGACTAAGGGAGCAAACTACGCAGAACAACAGCACTACAGAGAGAAGGAAAACTTGAAACAAACCCTATACCAACCCGTCTGGCCAGCGTGGTATAGTAGGCCAAAACCTCCTCTCTAAGGAGAGGCCTATGTCCAGTAGTGGAGTATTAAAGGCTGTTGATGATGATTGATGATGATGATGTTTTAAACGGGATAAATTTATTTCTTTTGAGAGAAGCAATTTCGTCTAATTTGTTGTCTATCCATACTAATATTACAAATGCACAAACGTGTCTGTCTGTCTGTTACCTCTTCACGCTTAAAACGCTGAACCAATTTAAATAAAAGGTATAGAGACAGTTCGAATCCCAGGAAAGGAAGGACAGTTTTTATTCCAGAAATCGTCGTAGGGGGTGGAAAGGTGGGATACCAGTTCGAATCCCAGGAACAAAGGACTGTTTTTATTCCAGAAATCGTCGTTTAAGGGGGTGAAAAGGTGGGATGGCAATTTGTATGGGGAAATAATAATCGCTTGGACGATTTAGATGAAATTTGGTTTGGAGATAGTTTGATTCTTAGAGCTATTTTTTACCTCGATGACCGACATACACTAGTGGATTAATATATGTTTATTTATAAGCTCGATTGTTTAAGATGGCTCATTACTCTGGTAGGCGTTAATTTATATAATATGCGTCCTTATTGTGTGTGATTATCTGCCAGTAGCTAGCTATTTTTATTTTATTGTAATCATGACTCTATGTAAATAGTATTTCACATTATTATAACACTTAGAAAAAAATACAGAATACAAACAAAATAATAATAATATTGTACCACATTCACACAACGCCATCTAGTTCCAAACTAAGCAGAGCTTGTACTATGGGTACTAGACAACGTTACGGTGGACAAACCGGTCACCAGCCCTGGGCGAAATTTTTAGGGAGCGCCAAAATCATAATACAATACGGTTTAAAATTTAAAGAAAACAATCGTAGATCAGGGGCTGCTATCCAGGACAAACAAATTTTGGATGATAAGGATCATTTATTCTGTGTGTGGGTGTGATTTATCTAAAATATGGAAGTATTTAGTAGGGGGAAGTCCCGTAGCGCCGGACTGCACCTAGCGTCGGACACTCATACTATTTCGACAAACGTCAAAGCGATCTATTTATAAATCGGTGAAAGGGGTGCGGGGGAACGTAGCGAGACAGGATCACGCAACGCGATTTGCCAGTGTGGCGCACAGTCGTGGTGGAAGCGGTGGATTGCTGTTTTTCGTGGGAAAGCGTTGCGTCACGTAAATTTCAAGTAAGTATTACTGCTATGGTTTTATCCTTAATTGTTTTTGTTATTTGTTAATAAAGACAGTGTTTCATTATAATTACTATATTGTGAAAGTTTTTATTAAATACCTAAACAGTTTTAGTATGAAATACGTAATTTGGACATTTCCTGTCCCCTACTTTCGGACACAAAGGTGTCCCTTACCACCGGACAGTTTATAGGTTAGCTTTTTTATGAAGCATTTGTACTTATTGTAATGATGATTGTTTGTTGTTTTACAGGATAGAAGGAGAGATATATTTGAAAATGCAAGAGAGAGAAAAAAGGAAAATGGGATCAGCAAAGTTTAAAAACTGCGATGAACAAGATTTTGTCCAAAAAAATGAGTTTGAGGGCAGCTTCGTCACGTTACAATGTTCCAAAAAGTACTCTACATGATAAAATAACGACATTGAGCAGTGAAAAGAATTCACGTTGCAACCAAAAGTTGGTAGATTCACAAAAACCTTCTAACCCGAGTATGAGCAAGTTTTAGTGGACCACATAAGAGATTTGTCTAATAGATGTCTGCCCCTGATGAAAAACGGGTTTTTGAAGTTAGCTTACGACTTGGCTGAAGCTATGAAGATTCCCCATGAGTAAACAAACCAAAGATGCGAAGGCAAAAGGAAGACGTGGCAATAACGACAACAAAAAGGAGCCGCTAACTGAAGTATCAAATTTAGAAAAAACGACTTGTGTAGTGTGTTTAGAGGACCACGACGAGGACTGGATACAATGCTCCAGATGCCAATAATGGGCTCATGAAGCATGTGCAGACGTTCCAGAATGTGGAGATGCCTACATATGTGATAGATGCACAATGTTTTAGAATGTCCGGCGCTTGGGGTTTGAAGATAAACCCGTCCGGTACTAGGTGCCAATGTCAAAGTCCTTTATTTTTTTACCAAAACTTATTTAACATTCCTAAACTCTGTTTACGCAGAAGTTGTATTTTTGTTATTTGATTTTGATTTTATATTTTGTTAATTTAAGTAATTCATAAATAAATATATATTTCTCTAAGTAGTTTTAATTTTATTTCCTGAAAACCTTATGTGTCCGTCACTAGGGGACTTCCCCCTACCTCTTTTTTGTATGGCATACCCTCGGATACCACTCACCGGTGGGGTGGTTATATCGGACTCGAACCCCACTGAAAACCGCACTCCGTCTCTTGTACCAGTAGTTGGGGAACCAGGTATACCCTAGAAAGGAAAATACCTGGTACCCCGAGCCATCTACGGCTTGATGAACCCCTCGTGTGTGGAAGCCACAATGTTCCCAGTATACTCCAAAATTAAAATTGATTTTTTAATCATCTATGGTAGTGTGTTGACGGATGAAGAAAACGGAATGTCATCACCCCTATTCATTCCGTGGGAGTCGTAAGAGCGGACTAAGGGAGCAAACTACGCAGGACAACAGTACTTCAAAGAGAAGGAAAACTTGACACAAACCCTATACCAAACCGTCTTGCCAGCGT